TTCGAGCGATTCGAACGTCTTCCGTTGCCGCGCGTTGAACGTGCGAAGTCGTGGTCTTTCCCCTGTGGCAAATCCGACTGTGTCGATGCATTGCATCCGTACGCGACCGAAATCTGATTCGTTCGTTGTCCAACTTGAGTATCGCGCGAGTTAGCCGACTGGGGGAGGTCGTTTCTCGTTGTGGCGGATTTGTGCGGTTCGTTCGCGAGGGGAAGCCGGCTGGTGCGCGCGAGAGTGTCGTTGTCTCGGGTCAGATGTAAAAATAAAAGGAAGCAGACGTGTCTCAAGGCTATCTGGCCGCGTATTGTCTCAGCCAGGACCGTAAAATCACGCGTCCGCTGCTCTGCAGTTTATTAAATTTCGCCGATGTCCTCCGATACGCGCGTGCAGCTTATCGTAGCTGCAAGTGTGTACCCTCATGAACGACGTAAAAGCTCCTTCGATGAGAACGTTTCGCACGAAGTCTTCTTCCCCTCGAACGGGGGGAAATTGTGCTTTTAACGAATCCTTGGAAACAATCGTGTTTCTCGTAGGTTCGCCATCGTCATTGCCATACGCTTTACGACGCGTCGATACAACGAACCACCGCTTAATTACTCTGTTGATAAATGTGCTCGACAGGCCGGATAATCGGGGTCCTGCTTTTCATTTCGTTGAATTTTTCGAGATCGTGACTGGAGAATGTTGCATCCCTTTAGAAGGGACGAACGAAACGATCGTTGTCGCGTAAAATTTCCTTGGAAAGAATTCGTAGGAAGATAAAGAGTTTGCAAGCTGATCTTCTATGTACCGACTGGTGCACTCTCTCGTAAGTTTGTCGACCGATCGCTCGATAACGACGAAGGTTAATGGTTACGAGCTTGAGCGGTTTGACTACGATACGATATCTAGGCTTCCGTAGATAGTTTTAAACTCGTTTATTGCAGGGAAGCCTTGATATACTGTCGCGTAATAGTATTACCAATAAACAAAGAATTTCAGCGAGGAAGACAGAAAATAACACGAGATTATAGCAAGGGCAACGGAAGAAAAACGATGTACGTATTTACGAAGTTTACAAATCCCACGTGACACGACACTTTTCTAATAAGTTGTACATGTAGCTGAAGAAATACAGTATCTACACTTCTGAGAGCATTTATTCAAAAGATACTGGTGAAAAAATTGCTTTCTCACTCTTTGCTACATTGTTGCACGTGTTCGTCGCAGTACTGTTTTCACTATGAATCACGCGTTGTTTCTGTAACATCACGAGACCTCATGCGTTTAACCTTCATCCGTTTCTGTATAAATGTCGAGCGTTGGGAAACAATTATTGTAAAAAAAAATACGTTTTTTAAATCTATTTATAGAAACTTCAGTGTCGAAGCTATTTAACTTTTGCTTAAATAACGTTAACCACCAATTAGAGTAATCTCTCGGCAATAACGATTAAGTATAAAAACAGTGTAGTATTTCTAACAGGAGGGACAATGAATACTCGAAACGGTTACGAGAAGTAAACGGATATCGCATGGTCTGTGATAGATAACGCGTACTTATCTAAAAAATCGAGATTCAGTTACCGAAACCTTGGAAATTCTAGATTAATTTAAGCCGTCTTGGTTTTTGCTCGTAGTAAAATTCTACAATGTGTCTAACATATTCCAGCGACCAATTCGTTAAAATCAGTGTTCGAGAAGATTCGAAGCCACCGAAGTACGCAAGTGGGTCACATTCACGTGATTACTGATCTTTGAATTTTCTGCCGCTGCGAACCGACGCCGATCAGATCGATATCAATTAACTCATGGCCCGTTGATCTAAATCAGTGGAGATCCCATAAAGAGCAACCTCGTTGCGCCGTGGTGTTCCCGGAAATTTGACCACCTACGATTCAACGTTACACGTGAAACTCGTAGCTCCCGATATTTCATTCGTCTCCGATACAGTGGAAACCAGGGGGAGGGGCCTTATCTCTTTGTCCCGTGTAAAGTATTTTCGAAAGATTTTTTATCATTCACGTATTTAGAAACGATATTGAGAAATCAGTTTTGATTTAACGATAATAGTAGTAGATAAAAGAAAGATAGAAATCTTTGAGCTACCAACTAGATACATACATATTTATCGTCACTTATTCAAATAATACGTTTGTTAAAGTTTTTCCAATATTTAATTAAATTTTTAATTACTGTTTATAACTGTTTATAAAAGATAAACAGTTTATCTTTTATTTGTTATTTGAAATTTGTATTCGGATAATAATTTTGTCCATCATTGATTCGTACTAGTGCCAACCTTCATTCGTTATTTAATATAACTGCTTGTGGCTTGGTCCTTCTAGGATTAACGCAATCTCCGTTTACCAGTAATTTCAACGTGCAGAAAAGTAGATATTTTGCGAAATACATTTTGTACGGTTAGCCGAGAAGAACGTCGCTAATTACCTTTCGATTCAAAAGCAACCACACCGAGAGCAGGGTCGGCTTTGGTCGGGCTATGCAAAAAGTAGAATGGTCGAGGGAACTCGGGGATTACGAGTTCTTTCGATGGAGTAGAAACTCCACCGTGCAAGGTTTTCTCGAGGGCACGTCCGTACTGTTTCCGCGGATCAAAGACATTGCAAGTGAACTGCTTGCGAAGAAGTTCCTCTGGTACGATTCCCCGTAATGATCGAAAAACGAAAGAAACTGGCCAGTCTGGTCCAAGGTTAGAAGATCGCACGCGCGCGTTGTATAATAGCCACACGAACTTGATTCAGGGCCGTAAAAGTCGGGCGTTTGCGCGGATCGGCGAGATCTATTTTTACCCTCGACTTGGTAATGTAAAACTTCGATATATGAGAGTTGTGAGAACAATGTAATATTTCTGATTTTAAAGTAGGGACTAGTCGAAAAAAATTGTTGACGATACCAGCGGGGTTTTCCAAATTGATCGCTAGACCGCGAGGTGTAAATCAAAATGGACAAGATGTTATTCAAATAATAGATAACTAATGGAAACTCAGTGTAGCAATTTACAAGTTATTGAAATTTTTTATCTGAATGAGAATTTTATTAATTACTAATATTATACTTTTAACAACCAAATGACTTACTACTTTCTATACAGGGTGTTCAACCACCCCTGGGAAAAATTTTAATGGGGTATTCCAGAGGCCAAAATACGACGAAAATCAAGAATACCAATTTGTTGATGGAGACTTCGTTAAAAAGTTATTAACGTTTAAAGTTCCACCCGTACTGAATTTTTTTCTCGAAAATGCGCAGGATTTCGGGGGTATGTCTATTCACCAAAAATGATTGTAATTGACCCCCGCAACCGAAAATAATTTTTCCAGAACGATTTGAAATTTTTCTTTTTTGTCGTAAAATTTCACACCTTCTCGAATTTTTTTCTCGAAAGCGCCTAGGATTTCGGGGGTATGTGTAATGACCAAAAATGATTGTAATTGACCCCCGCAACCGAACATAATTTTTCCAGAACGATTTGAAATTTTTTAATTTAATTGTTAATAACTTTTCAACGAAGCCTCAGTCAAGAAATTGATATTCTTGATTTTCGTCTTATTTTGGCCCCTAGAATCTCCCATTAAAATTTTCCCCAGGGGTGGCCAAACACCCTGTCTACAATGAATATTGAATAATTTGTGTTATCTTGTCCAAGTGTTACCATCGAACAGAGATTGACAGTATTTTATTCGTTCACGTGGAACATTTCTATAATTATAATTTTTATTGAACGTGAGACACCTCAAATGGTGTTTATTTTTATATTCATAATTTTAAATTTATATGTGAATAAGAATTTGTCATTGTGGCCCCTTTCTAACGACATCGATCGCCCGTATTTACCCACCGACGTTTCGTGTCAGCTCAAGCATAGTAAGTCGACGTTTCTCGTATTACCGATCTACGATCTCTGTTTCCATTGTGTTTTTTTCGTTCACATTCTTGTTTGTTCATGAAGAGCCCAGCATCGAATCTCGTAGCTTTTCTGTAAACGATAAAATTGGTTGAAATGTATGGAAAAAGGTTCCTTTAACCTTATCGTGCCCCCCTTATCGGTATAGAAAAGCCGTTGGTATTTGCCGAGTAACCGATAATTCAGGTTACATTTCACTCGACCCGCTGTGCTCGGACGCGGTGAGTCACGGGAATGACTCAAAGGACGGAAATTTTATTTGTCAAAAAAGCAGGCGTTTTTCGAACGCTTCTAAGTCGATATCTCCTCGTTCCCACATTCGAAATGGCTGCAGATTCGCTGACAAAATACGAGATTACAAGCTAACGCAGCGCATTCTGTAATCAAGGAACAAACATGAATTTCTCCAGCGATTAGATAATATTACGCGGGCAGAAATATGCACGCGATTCAACCGCTGGAATACACAGTTGGTCGTTACGCTTGTCTATCGATATTGTAGGTTATCTAATCGAAAAGAAAAGAGAGGAAAACGATATGATTCCGCGGGAACATTTTTAGCGTTAATAAAAAAAAAAAAACAGTTTTTTTTCCCTTTTCAGGACCAACGGAAGTCGTAAAAACTTGGAAATCGATGGATACCGGAGAGCGGCTGGAATTTTTTGTAATTTCACAATTGAGCGCACGCGCTCCGTGCCCAAAGTCCCTTATCATTCTCTTGTCCGGTGTTGAGTATTTAGATGACTGGACGGAGAACTGATAAGGGCCCGAGGGTCACAGAATCATCGTGGGACTTGGCTCGACTTATTCGACAAAGGAAATATATTTTATGTGGTTGCAATGTTTTGTAGACGTGGAACAATTTTGTTCACATTGACGAATAATAAACGATCGTGAAATACATTATTAAAAAATATTCATTGTTTAATACCTGTATATATTTACTGTAGTATATAAGTTCCAACAGAACAGGAGGGATAGAATAGAAAAGACACGATTATAAAATATTTGTTTTTACCATAATAAATAATAAAAAAAATATGTTACATGTCACACTCGCATACAAACGTATACATTCATACATAAAATGCCGCGCATATATATCTTTCTCTTAGAAAAAAATAACTTTCAACAATATTCTTTTAACAATTATGACACGACTTGTTCTCCCTCGCGATTGAGCAAAGTTTTTCAATTTTCGATAGGGTAGTTTGCTAAAAATGTGGTTCTATTGCATTTACGTTCCGGCGCTTTTCGTGTCACCTAAGTCTGTCTCGTAATTAGGGTTAATCTGAATTATTTGTTTAGTGGACTTCACTATTTTCCTCCGTGGATTTTGCATGATTAAAATCTGCTTGGCTTCCTTCGTTTCCGTTAAAAGCTGATTGACGCCCATGAGCTTGATGGCAGGCATCGTTTTGATAAATGTCGCGTTAGAAAATGAAATGCTCGTGTTGGAATCTACTTTTGGGAAGATAATCGGGTTTTTCAAAGGCGCCATACATAATTTTTTCTTCGGCACGACAGAGGCTTCTGCGGAAGAATACGATGTCGGTCGCTTCATCAAAATTCCCATTGGGGTTGTCGGATTGGCCATCAGATCCGAATTCAACGATATTACTTTGGGGCCCAGTACTATGCTACTCCCTATAAGTGTACGCGTGCATAAATACAATAGAATAAGTGAAATGACGGTTGATCGTTCTCACACCATTCGAGTACCTTTCTGCATCGCCTTCGTGACTGGGCAATCTTTGTGGGCCAATAGCAGAGTCTTCAACTTGGCGACCTCTGCTCGTAAAACCTTTATTTCCATTTGCAGGGCCACGTTCGTTTCATTCACATTCGCGACCGTCCTTTCGAGCTGTTGTATCCACGCTTTTCTTTTGGCTCTTGCCCTCATCGAACTCGCACGGTTCCGTTCAAGGATGTCTTTCTTTTTTATCTGCTCTTCCATCGTCTTGCCACGATTTTGTTTCTTCGAATTGCTAAACTCGTTTCTCCCTGAGCTGTCCTCGGTTATCAGATTTTTCAAGTCCGTACTTTTTGTTAATACTTGTTTCAATTTCTGCAATTACGTATGAGAAGATGATTTTAAAAGGATTATAACTAGAAGGTACCTCCATTAACACTTTAATGGCCGCACGTATCACGCGAAGACCGTTGTCCGTCACCATTGATATTGTAGACCAAAATGAGATACACGAAGATGCTAGGAATATTATTATACGGTTAAAAAATCAGTCTCATTACTTAATTTACACACCTCGTATGGTGAAATGGCGACCGATACAGTAAATCACGCACACGTGACAGTGGCCGTCAAAGTGTTAAGAATGTATTAGCATGTATCAAATACCATTTTTGCCAAGGATAACATTGAATCCGACTTCTCGAAATCCCCTTTTGTCGTATATTGCAAAGGAGGCTCTGTCTTTATCACAACTGTTGGATGTTTCGGTGGTTGTACGGTATTAGCGTTACTAGAACCGGAAATTGGAATTGCAGACAGCTGCATCAGTTTACCGTCGGAAGTTTTCAAAAGTAGCTGCACTTCTTCTCCATTTATTGATCTTTATAAGAGTGTATTTCACAATTAATAATCACAAATTAATTTACAAAGGTTCAGTAATTACTCACAATTGCGGAGTTGGCCGTTCTTGTAAAATCTTAGGTATTATTGGTGTGCTTGTAACTTGATGAATAATATTTTCTGTAAGCGTTTCGGTTTTCTCTGTCGTTAGTTTATCCTTCGTTAAATCTTGCTTGTTCGATACAGAGAGTTTCATGCTGCTACAGACTTCTGTGTCAACAGTGGTTCGTTCGTCTGTACTGTTTTCTGTGATCGAGATGCTGCTGGTGCATTCCTGAATGCTGTTCTCTGGCAGAATTTGATTACCGGTAGGCAGCACATCTGTTATGTGAGGAAATATATGGGGAGTGTGTAGAGTATCGTCTGTAATCCCAGCCTAAAAAAACACTTATAAACTAATCATAAATCCATTAGTAAAGTATTCGACTTTATCTTAAAATGGTTTTTACCTCCGGTACTGTAAGTGTACCAGTGTTTCCCGATTCTACTGCCCTCCTGAATGTTTCCTCGAACGGGTTCACATTTTGTAAATCTTGAAATAACCCTACTTCTTCGCAGTTTCTGATGAAACGCGTCGGAGTTGGAGTCTGATCGGCTGCAAATATTTTACAAAAACATTTATCATTTTCTATTTTTGTTATTTTAACGTCTACTTGTAAACAATAGAAATGATCCTTACCCATGAAACCAACATTCTTAGAACCATTTCCTAAGTTCAACATCATGTCGTGCTTTTTCTTATGTACAGATAACTGATCTTCGTTTGTAAAATTCTACAAAAGTAAAACAGAGTAAAAACTTGCCTTCCAACGAATAAAAATTAATAGGAGACTAAATAAAGTTAAGTCAACATTCATCCAAATTTTATTGTACTCCGAACATAAGCAAATAGTGGAAGCGATTACATATAATGAGTACTTACCATATTGCAACCTGGTGATGAACAAGTAAAAGGTTTCTCACTATCTGCCATTGTAGTTTTGTATTGCTGAAGGTCTCACAACAGTTCACGGACAGTACGTAATAAAATGAAAACAAAACTGAAGATGCACATCATAGAATGCAATGCGACAAAACCCATTCTTTCTTTGACTATCTCTGTGACAGTAATACATTCTTCACGTAAGTACTAATTATTAACAATGTTCTAAATCGATTGAAGTATAATAAGCAAAAAGTAAATGACAGCGCGAAGTTTCGAACAAATTTTGATACTATGACTTAAATCAGCTGTTTCTGTACTGCACTGACGAACATCAATGAAAAAATTACACCGAATGAACTGTTGTACAGAAGATTGCACCTCCATCTACGAAAGAACGTCCAAGTTTGTCGTGGAATAGATGGCGCTTATTTTTCGACCTCAAACCCTCTGGTGCTCTTGCCGTAGATAGCTGTGCAAATCATGTACCACAGACGACGTATACCTCAGACTAATTGTGTGTAAATGCATATAAGTTGAGAAGTTCGAATTACTCGCGATTTTGTGACTAGTTAAAGTTGTAAATAATTTGCTAATGTAAGAATTTCTGTAATTTCATTTCCTACCATAATAAGCGCTATGATTTTTTTCTATACTCTGTTGGTAACGTGGCGAGTGGCACGGAAATGATAATGAGTTGTAGAGAAATGGGCCAAAAAGACACGTTGGATTACTTGTATATCTCGTCTGTGATAACGCACAAAACAAATTTTATGAAAATGTTGGGTGAGGTTGGGAATAGGTTTGTTATAATTTTATTTCTTTTGGCATTCTGCTGCCACAGGACATCTTCGCAATGTGTACAATTAACACCTTGCTCCTGTACATTTTCCGATGGCCAGGGATATAACCTGACAGAACTCGGTAACTCAGGGTCGGCAGATAGTTTTCTTAACCTCCATATCTTTAAAACGTTGTTCCTTATTTGAAAAAAACGTTTCTTTGTAGGTTCCTTACAGCGCATTATAATAGCAATACTGTGTATTTTAATCCATGTAAGAATGTTCGACTGTCGGACAACAAGACTAGCGACTGTTACAACACATCTGTAAGAAATAACAATACAGAGGTACTTTGACCATACAAGCTTCTTTGAATTTAATTTTCATTACCTTGTTCATAGTTATGCCTCGAAACGGCCAACAAAACTGTTGTTAATCTAGGCACGATGGAAGAAACCAAAATAAAAGTACAACCTCTTGATAGTGAACCTGTTTTGACTATTCATCATAAAAATTATACAACAAAAATAAACTTACGATGTCTGAATGTAGTCAATGGTTGCTTTACGGTAGATGCTGTTGTTAATAATAATTATGTAAGTTTAATGCATTTAATATGGAGGTTAGTTTTGGATAGTTTCTCATAAGGAGACACAACGATCGTGTCACGTTGTCTTGAATATATTAAGAAATAAACTTGTTCTTGTTTCAGTATTTAACATTAATATCTCCTCATGCTTGTAAAGTACAGTTGTATGCAAAAGGCCTTTCTACCGGCTCCGTGTTGGTTATCTTGTTTATTATATTTACTGGAATATATTTTATTGGCGGAGTTATAGCCTTAAAATTATTAAGAGGAGCAACAGGTTGGGAGATGATACCCAATCACGAGTTCTGGGGAGAGCTTCCTTCGCTCATCAGGGTAAGTTCAGAAAGAACGGTGTGCATCTTGCGCCACTTAGATTCATAATGCACTAAAAATTGATATTTCTTTTTTATAGGATGGTATCACTTTTACGTTCAGCTGTTGTCGCGAGGGTAGTTACGATAGAATATAGATTTTTAATTTATTTTAAACTATATTTTCTTTCAGTATGATTTGCGTTTAATTTAACAACGTTTTTTTTTTTCAAATTCAACGTTTGATTTGAATGGATTATATTTCCTATAAATAGCAAACAGTGTACATATATAAAGAGAAATGAATGTTTACGTTTTACTTTGCTTATACTAAAATTTACGGAAAACAATGTTATCGAAAGTACTCTATTGCAGTTTTAGATTATAAAGTGATAAAAGTATTTTCTATGACACCATTTTCTTGTATTTTTGTAAAAGGAATATGTGATATTTATCGCGGCGACGCACGTATGTCGGAGGTTGTTATAAATACATAGAATTCATTACTACTTTTTATACATAAATATGTTAATGCAAATAAAAAAGGAATTAAAACAGTCAAGATTGCGCGTGCACGGCTTATGTACGTGACACCATATTATTAAATTTGTACGTAAAATTTGGCAGGGGAATGGATACCAAATATAATATTCTAATTTTGGGAATTTAATAGTTTCCAAGATATTAGGTTAATTTTAGCTGTCTTTTATTTCGTCGTCGAACGGAGGGCCACTTGCGGGCAGAGAGAGTGCAACACTATACATATTCAGGTTGGATTAGAATAATATATTAGAAACCAACACACTAGTGACCCGAAGACGTTGGTGTCGCTGAAACATTGTATCGTTTTTAGCGGGAATTTGATCGACGACGGTGCAAGGACTACAATGCAACGAAGATATTTGCGTATGTGTGTGTATATATATATATATATATAATATATTTAGGGCCTGCATATTCTTAATGTTTCTTTATTAATAGCTTGAAAACCATTTAATCTCCGAAGCTAAAACTTTATATTTGGTATCCGTTTTTTCCCCCTTCGTTTTCTTCAAATTTCATGTTGATCGGCCATGGGTGCCATTTGGAAGAATATTTCTCAAATTAATTCGACGTAGCGTACCAGTGATTTAAGGACATAATTTTTTATTATCGAGTATCTAATAATACAAAAGTATAAATACTTATATACATACATATATTTTTCGTTTTCTATACGTATTGTACGTGAAATTTGTAAATATGTTTTTAATTATATGCGACCGTAGAACGAATGTTTCAACAAAAATGAGGCATTGATCATTCTCCCCCTAACTTTATTCGAGTCGAATAATAAATAAAAGACCTGTGAACAGGGATGAGCGACGTGCTACTGATACACCGATGTTAAATATAATGATCGTGACTCGATAAATTATCTCGAGCTTCAAAATACTGAATATCTTTTCTACACATGTACATATATGAAGCAATAAGGAAAAGAAAGGTTAAGGAATATGTATACGTAGCTCGACTTTGAGCTTCGGATCGCACGTCGATGTTAGAAACTTTGGATGCCGTCGACGGTTACAGAGACTTCCTGATCAGTTTGTATAATTATCCAGCTGCCGTTGGCATTCAAGTTGTGAATATTGATGCCTTTTATCGAGAATGCATTTACGATTTGCGCCAGATCTTGAACCCCGTTCGCTCGGTACAGAGAAACATGATCCCCTAAAGGTATTCCATTGGCGAACACAGAGTCATCTAGCGAGAGCAGCAGGAGTTCGTTGTCACGGACGGTCCCTGGGTAAACGAACAAACGCATTTATAAGAACGAAGAAGAACATCGAACGAAAGAAGTTTCAAAGATTTCTTTACCTTTAATTCGGTGACCTTCCATTTGTACGAGAATTGCTTTACCGTCAGCTTTGGTGTGGCTACTCTGAAGCTCGATGCCTATTTCTCGAGCCAAGGTCAGCGCGTTGATTAAGTTCAAGCCGTTCTTGGTTTGTCTGGACAGAATTCCAACCAGAACGGCCGTGTGAACGAATGCCTTCTCCTCCATTCCGCTTCCAATCGTTTGGCTACGCACGACGACCTTCGTATTTTCCTTGGAGAGACGCGCAACCAGCTGGCCTAGCCTTTTGGACAACTCTATCCACGGTGCATTCTCATCCGTCATGGCGGCGATTAAGATCGGAGCGTTCACAATTCCAGTAACCGCGTACTCCGTTGATTTACCCGCTAATACCAGAAACTGCTGAGCTATCTCTAAAGCGACACGTGCCTGAGCTTCTGCGGTACTAGCTCCTGTTAAATAATGTTAGAGTTAGAGATATTATTGTTCCTAAATTCGAGTAGGTACTGAAATTTTTAGATGAAATTAAAATATTTAAAATCACACTAAAAAAATTATATTTAGTTACCGGGGTAAATTACAATAATTTTTGGTGAATGGACATACCCCCGAAATCCTGCGCATTTTCGAGAAAAAAATTCGAGAAGGTGTGACATTTTTCGACGAAAAAAAAAATTTCAAATCGTTCTGGAAAAATTATTTTCGGTTGCGGGAGTCAATCACAATCATTTTTGGTGAATGCACATACCCCTGAATTCCCATCCACTTTCTAGAAAAAAATTCGAGAATGTGTGAAATTTTTCAACGGGAAAAAAAATTTCAAATCGTTCTGGAAAAATTATTTTCGGTTGTGGGAGTCAATCACAATCATTTTTGGTGAATAGACATACCCTCGAAATCCTACGCATTTTCGAGAAAAAAATTCAGTACGGGCTCCACTTTAAACGTTAATAACTTTTTAACAAAGTCTCATCATATTTGGAATTGATAATTTATTAAAAAATCATTGAAAATCAAATGCTTATACTTTATGCTACGTGACCTAGATAAAACTGATCAAACAATGATTATTCTTATGTGTAAATATTGTTTGTAGAAGAGAAACTTGTTTCTATGTTTTCTATCATATTTTATAATTACGTTATTTATATGATTTGCAATAAATATTGAAATGCAATTGCCATTACTTTATTCTTTCTAAATATCATTTTTAGTTTGATTATTATGAGCTTTTTCTCTAACCATAACAAACTCGTCAAATTGGCTCGGTATTCTTCGGATAGGCACCCGTTTTTCGCTCGCCACTAAAAGGGTTAAATTAAAAAATAAAATAAATGATCGTACCGAGGTGGGGAGTGGCGACGACATTGGGATGAGCAATCAGCTCCAAGGTGACAGGATCTTTCGGCGGTTCTTGAACGAACACGTCCAAAGCGGCGCCTCCGCAGTGTCCTGATTTGAGCGAATTTAGGAGAGCTTCCTCGTCGACGATGCCTCCGCGGGCCACGTTCACGATGCGTACCCCTTTCTTACATTTTGCCAACGTCGTCGAGTTGATCAGATCTGAGCAGAAAAGTGCAAACTTAGAGAATTCAACCCACGATACCCTACGGTATCAAACAGTCGGCGCTATTCTTAGAAGAAATTCATGTTTACTTCTCGTTTGAGGTATAAGCGGCGTGTGCACGGTAATGTAGTCCGCCAGTGGCCATATCTCGTCCAGAGATAGCTTTTCGACGTTCAGCTTGACAGCGTCCTCGGCTGTCAATATCGGATCGAACGCGATCACACGCATCTCGAATGCCTGCATTCTTCTGGCTACCTCGCGACCGATCCGCCCCATTCCGAGAATGGCAAGCGTTTTGCCCGACAGCTCGAAACCGGAATACAGCTTTCTGTCCCATCTTCCCTCTTTCAGCGCCTTGGATGCCTGAGCCACGTTTCGCGCCAGAGCTGAGATGAGCGCGCACGTCAGCTCGCAGGCGCTGATGCTGTTCCCGCTGGGAGTACTGAAACGTATTCCGGTAAGATAAATATTTGGAAGATGGCATTGGAAAGAGTAAAGAAAAATTGAATAGCATTAATGTACATAGAAGTCAGTGAATACAAATTTTCAAGTTTAATCGAAATACATGATAGATACTCATTTATCAAATTGGAATAAAATTGTTCTTGTTTCTTGATTTTCTAAAAACTCAATGGCCAATTATACTATGTTTGCAGTGTTTCCAGTATCAATAATTTGAGAGTATATAGTTCACTAATAAAACAGAGATAATGTTATTAAGAGGAATAACCCAAGTTGTCGGTTCGAAAAGTAAGGTCATCTTTCGATGATTATTTTTACACTCTGATTTATCAATATCCTAAAAGTATTAATTTAATTTTAATTTCCTTTGTCGTTAGTTTATAAACTGAGTCTAAAATTTGCATTCGTTGACCAGTTAAATAGGAACTTGACGTTAATTGTGTACGAGTGTAGGACTTTTTAATTAGCCAGAATAGTACATAGCTTTGCTATCGTCCTCGAAGAAACAAATTCAAAATGTCAATGACCGGTTTATCGTGGTAAATAGATGCGTTCGCCTGTTTCGTTGATCAATGATTTTTTAGTAACTTACTTGAGAACGATGACTCCCTTCCGCGTGGCAGCTTGTAGGTCGATGTTGTCCACGCCAGTTCCAGCACGGCCGACCACGCGAAGATTAGGGCAACTGGCGAACACGTCGCTGGTAACTTTCGTTTCCGATCGAACGATCAAGGCATCGTGATTCTGTTCCCGACAAATAACAGGGCGTATTATTGGACATCTGCGCGTCTCGAAGTAAAGCGTCGAGGAGGCGCGATGATTTATTATACGATGACTCGACACGAAGTGGTACACCGATCCCCCGGTTATGTGAAACGGAATTTGGGTTCGCTCGATTTCATATAACCAGCGAAGATAACGCTTCTGTTTTATGTATCGACTTGCATGTCTCGGATTGCAGTCGAGCATAGCAATTGCAGCTCGACGAGAAGAACGAATGGGATTCATGAATAGCAAGTGAGACAGAAGAACAACAAACGAGTGTCAGTGTACCAACGTACGAGAACGATAAGACAGGCGTGTCTTTTATTAACACTTTACCGACCGATAGCTCATTTATCGGCTTTTTACCCCTTAACACCTTACCGACCGATAGCTTATTAACCGGTTGTCATGAAAATAAAAAATATTACTTGATTTAATTACCCCATAATAATAGAAAGGAGACAATACAGCAAGCACTTTCGCAAAGTTTGATTTAACGTTCTTATAAGTATAAGAAAAAGTGCATATATAGCTTAGGGTCAATTGGTACCGGTCGGTAAAGTGTTAACTAATAAGTTAACGAGGCTTTTCCAAGGAAAATGAGTTCAAACATGTGTTTTCGTTAGAATTTTTAACCCACTAGCATCATCAACCACGAATATGCCGCTAATTGTGAAAGTGGTTTAAGTATAAATGGAAAAAGCATTGAAATTTCAAATTCAATATGTTTTTAAATTCTTATTATTATGTAAAAATGTTTGCAAAATAGCAGCAAATCGAATTTATAATAAAATTCTCAGTCATTTGTTTCACGATAATCGCGTTATTCGAGAATAATTATTTTTCAATTACGTCGTCGCAGATAAATTGTACGAAATAATTTATAATCCATACCAATTTAAAGAATTTTATTTAATAATTCGAAATGGCTCGTTTTATAGATACACTATCGCAAAGTGTAATTAATATTTCCAGAAAATGGACAGGAATAAGATACCTCGTATCAATCGCGCATAATTCTCGTAAAAGTTTAGTAGAATTTCAATTACCGATCAACATTCGCAGACTATTGTTCGTTTCGTTCGAGAAATGGAAATTTTCTTAGGAAATGCTTCCTCGATATTCACGTTTTTCTCTCGGTATTTGTAACACAATTTTTTAGAGGAATTTCAAGTATTTTTGAACGCGTAACGTTTGCTTTACCGCAGACCACGCGAAGTCTGGCTAAAATACCTGGCCAGGCACGACACGAATCTCCTTTCAAGAGTCGTTCCTTTTTCTTCCCGCGATAAACGGATCTCTTAAGCCGACGACATTAACGGGGATGATTTTGTCGCTCGAATCCAGCGTAAAATTTGACACTCGAAAGCGGAAATTGCTATACACTCGGGATATTCGCCTTAAAGAGGACTCCTCTTTAAAATTCGGATTTCGTCTCGTTCCAACAAACGAATTCAGGATGCTGCTCGAGAAAAAAAATTCGATTTGGCACCGGGATCATCCTGGGCGGAGAACGTTGGAACGCTATGCAACGCAATACTCCGTTCGGGACGAAATCTTTCCGTTATAGTTCTTGCGGGATCCCGTACAGTTGCACGGATGCATGCATGCTCGCACGTATACGTGGGTAGAAAGGAAATACGACGACAGACCGACAGATAAGTACATCGACCCGCGCTGTTATTTGGTATTCGCTTTTGCCGACAAAACTGGATCGAACCGGTTAGGCTGTTCGAATGCAACCAATTAAGCTGGACGAGAGAAAAGCGAGGGGCCGGAGGAGCGAGAGTGAGAGTTTAGAGCTGAAATCGAGACATCGCGAGAGTATTGTTGTCGGGACGTTAGACGGCCACGCTGTGAAATTCCAGTCGGAATCGGAATTTCTCTGGACGACTCTTATTAAAGATGGGACTACTCGTCGAATTTCTTTTGCATTCGAACATTTCAACCGTGCACTGATTTTAATATCCATAATTCGTACGTAGTTCGTACAGATAATGAAATATTCTGTTATCGTATAATATTTTATAGGTAATATACTATGCATTAGAATATATTACAAGTAGCAGAAATATTTCAGAAGCGTTTTGGATATTCATTTGTCAGTGAAAACTATCTCATAGAATTTATTATATTTGATCGAGAAATTATCAATGTTACGAGTACAAAATATTGCTGATACAGGTATAAAAACGTTTGTGGAAACCTAAATGCAACCCCCGAGGCCTTAATTTTTCGATAGAGGATTCTTTTTTTAATAAAAGATATGAGAACGATGTTTGAGTAAGAAACGTATGGAGAAAAGACGATTTTTCAGCGCTTTCGGTTGGAAGACATCTTCGATCCTTCGTTAGTCGCGCCCTCTAAATTTCTGTTCATTGTTCTAAAGCGGAGTCGGTGTCACCTTCTTGGGTTCCTCCCCAACGGCGTGCAAGAAAACACTTTATATCGTTTCTCGTGAGTAAACATCTTTTGTTTTCTAACATTCGCGTGAAAGTTTCTCCGGTTAGATGTTTCGACAACTGTCTTTGCGATCGACAAACTTGTAGCTATTTGGAACAGATCTACGAGGAAGCTGCTGCGTACATACGCGGAAGGAATCGAGATAAAACTACCAGAAAACCCTGTTTCAAATAGGTATATGTGTCGATCGTTTAAAATTGTACGTAAGAAACTTTTATAGGATTTTATTTTATTGAAAAGGATATTCCAATCATATTTTCGTAAAAAAAAAGAAATAAAAAATGAATGTTGCCTAAGAAGAATAAAATATTATGGGATCCAATTTGAGAAACGTCGACCCAGTGAATATAGAAGATATTTTATCATTAAAATTGAAGGTGGCATAAAAATTATAGCGGAAGGTAAACGTGGAATGGCGTTGACAGTTATTTGTTTACCTGAAGCTCTTTGATGAGCTCCTCCTTGGATGACTTGTACTTGATTGTGACTGGTATACCGTGACGAACGAGTAGCTCGCCGCAGGACGAGTCCACGGGATCGCTTATGAAAACGTTCCTGATCATGGCCGACATGTTATCCTTGAACAAACAAAATCCTTGAGCCGTTTGCACGGAATAGATATCTGCAAACGATTTAGCTCGTAATCGTACGATCGCACCGATACTGTTCGTCTCTTATGGTACGTTTCTCCCAAAAGTTCGATTTGTATTTTTTATCATTTTCAAAACTGTTACTGTAATTCAACGGAGGAATAAATTGTGCAAAGAAACAAAAAGTATGTTTTAACAACAACCTAGCAAAACAAGGTATTTTTTCATTTGTAGATCATGGTGCGTGTCCACCGAGGCTAAGAAATTCTTAATTATACCGTGAGTTAAGCATACGTTCGCGTTTTTGCCTAACTGCTGCTTTCAAACATGCGGAACACACGTTTCGTAAATGTCGATTATTCAAACATAGTTAACGTCAACACGATCATTGTGACACTGAGCACACACGTCTGGTATTGTATTCCGTTCCGTACAAGTCATATTTCATTTAACCTTCGTTGCTTGCTAGTTTTTTCCATTATTTCCATACAAATTTATGGAGCGCGACTGCAACGTGTACATGCGTATTTACAATCGTGTATAAAAGTCTACTGCGAGACGTAACGCGAACGTTAAAGTTTATGAAAAATGTTTCGGCGGTGAACGGGTTGACTCATTGTTGTCTGGCTCCCAACGTCTGGCTCTCGTGGTCGAGAGAATATCTCATATTACGTAGTTCGTTCGTACAATATATTTAATGGAAACAACTTAGTTACGAATTGTTATAAAATACTCGAGTCGTTTTTAATATCAATACTGTGTAATCGAGTCTTATTCTTTTTCTAAATTATTCACATATACATAGAATCGTGTTATTTAAATAATGCCCTAACGAGAAACAAACAGTCACGAGTGCCCGGTTTAAATGAAAATGAAGAGAAAACGTAAGAATGTCACTGATAAACAAGCCGAGCAGTGTAGCAATGAATCTGGTAGAAAATCAAGACAAGTGAGGCCCATATATATTCCAGCAGAGGAATACAAGATTTCAGCATTACAAGCTTACGACGCCTCCAGTCGTCGGAGAGCAGACTGTGGAAGACGTACTCATTACGGTTTCACAGTGACGGGCGAAATTTTGTTCCTACGATAAATCACCAGTGAAAAGAACTGAATTTATTCTTGAAGTTTATTAAGTTCGTTGTCGAACGTTTCGGTTTCATAATTGAAATTTTTAGTTTTATTTCACGAGTCTCGGACGAACGGGTAACTTTAATCTTCCGTCGAGTCGAGAAGCGAATCGTAAAAGTGATCTTCGTCGGTCGATCGGTGCAATCGTGAACGAAATACGAGTTTCGTTTAAGAATCGAAGACATACCTCGTGTGTGTTCGATGTACGGTTGTATTGCGGTCGGATACACGCGACGGTCCCTTGTTACGATCGGTCTGTGGAGTTCGTACCGTTCTGATCGGCGATCCAACCGTAAACTGGATGTTCCAGTCGGTGATTTATCTTTTTATAGCGTTGTCCCCACCCGGTCGATCGGCGGTAAATCGACTCTAACGCGCGCCTCTACGGTCGCTTGTCCTTATTTACCGATCGAAACGAGCGAATTTCAAAAGATCGTTCATTGTTGCTGCCGCGTTGTTCCTTCGGATTTAGTCGCCATCGTTTTTAATTTACGCGCCGTTGAATTATTCGTCCGATCGACCGCTTTTGGTAGACGCCTTTCCGTCTTGAACTGTTTGCGTGCTTCCCATTTTCGATTCACTTTTACTTATTTATACTTTTACCTCGTCGTCGCAACTTGGAATAAATAGACCGTAATACTTACGAACTTTTAAATAAGGTTAGTGTTATTGAGAATAGTATAAAATTGCAAATGTACCATCGAACTATTTAATATTTCTGTTTTTCATTTCTTATACACGAAACACAGTGTCAAAGAAATATATGATAATCTTCGTTCATTAAATGAACGTTTATTATGTTCGTATTTCATTTCAGCCAATATCCACAAGTTATTTTTATATTTTTCTATGTGGCATTTCTTTCATTTCCATTATTTTCTCTATTTTTACACACATGTATTATATTTTATAGTTACAGCTCTGTAAACGCCATACGTTGACTGAAAAGTTCCAATAAAATGTCGCATCGCAATTAAATCGTTGTCCAAACGACTGGCCAATACGACAATAAACAAACAAAGCATACGAAGCGGGTAAAATTGAAACCAGTTAGTCTTTTGTTCTTATTTAAATGCAGTGTTTAATTTGAGTTTGAGATATTGGTTTCTCTATACCTTGCACAGCTATTTTCACTAAGAAAAAGCAACTCCAACTTTGGCAAAGACATCTTGACAACTGACCGTTAACTCGATTATAATAGTACTCGATAGTCGTTTGTATTTTGGAAACAAAAGTAATGTTTAGGTAAAATTAATAACCTGCTTTTAAAGCATTCTCATCTAGAGTTATAATACGCAAGCTCCATAATTATTTTTAATTGGAGTATAAAATGGCTCTATTTAAAACGTTACTAATAGCGGGGTCATATACATATCATATCGTCAAAAATTCTTTTACAGAAATTGCATCATTTTCTGTAATTTCAAGGAAAATGACCTCCACTGATCATCAAATATTACTCATACTTAATTAATAGTTTGCCCGTATGCCTACATAATTAGTTAAGGAAAGATAGTACGTTTATTACGTGGACATTTTAAAGGAGATTTCAGTTTAACTATGAAATTTAAAACGTTTCTGAGTACGTGTTTCTATGAGTAATTAACATGAACTCGATTATTTAGACTAAATAAATGAATTGCGAACAAAACCCAAATCGCGAAAAAATGGTTAAAAAATATATTTTGACACATTTCGCCTGTTCCAAGATTCCTGCTCCCGATTTTAATAATTGAAAACGTCGAAAACGTCCAGCCCGGTAGCTTAAAAAAATTTTCATCGCTGGTTGGAAATTAATTCGACGTTCGTGTACCAAAGTCTTCAGCCATCTTTCGGGTAGTATTTCACGTACGTCGCGATGATAAAAGAAAAAGAAACGATCGCCTTACACGCGCACGTGATGCGTTTACCGCAGATCGCAAAAATACGTATATTTTCCATTCCGGGGTCATCTTGTGTTACGATGACGCAACTTCTGCTGGGGGTCCGATTTAGCAACAACATTAATTATTACGTTGTTATCGCGACCCCTCGATTTGTTTTCTTCCTTCTCCCGTTAGTTTTTAGTTTGTCTTTTTAACCGATAAGCCGAGGAAGTTGCCAGCGTTCAAAGAATCCGCGCAGCGTCCGTCCTCATTTACGTCGTCGAACTTTGAACGTATTTCAAACATCGATGAGCCAGGACTGGGGGGACATCTTTTCGATCTATTTGTTCACAGAATAACGTAAAATACCCAAAATATTATTATTTGAATATTTAATTACTCAAATAATCAGCCACAGTAGAATTTCTACTCATAGCACTGCTTATAAATTTGTAGATTGCTTACAGATGATTTAAAAATTGTCATTTATTTCTTTGAAATTACAATACAGAGTTTCATTTTAAGAAAATAGAGGTGATCTTGAAATTATCGGAGCACTTACACTTATACATTTTTTATCTGAATAATGCAATAATATATTATTAACACTAGATTTACGGGCATTGACAGCACATATATTTATTGATACCTTTCATGTTGACGATTACTTTAAAATACGATTTTTCTTTTAATTAGGATATATATTCATGCCGTTGCATCAATCAAATTCAACATAAGTTGTTAAAAAATAATATTTACGCGTTCTGCAATTTTAAATATGGAATCTGACATCCGTCAAATTGACGGCTTCCGTAAATCTAGTGTTAATATATAGTAATGTTGGAGCAGTGATATTCGGGTAGTAATATTCGAATATCGATATTCAAACTTAGCATGCGAATATTTATCAAATATTCGAATCATAAACGCTTTTATGCCCCCAGCAGAGACACGGATTATCTTATCTGTGTGGAAAATAACTTACTTAAAATAAGTAATTCAGTAATAGTAAAAAAAACATCGTGAACACGAGCGATTCAATTTTCTATGCTATCACGTTGCCATTTTTAAATCATCTTAATGGAATAATAATATTTCTTTTGCTCAACGGTCTTTAATGGAATAATGAAAAAATAAATGTACATTTTTGGCTATGAAACAAATTAACTAAATAAAATATAAATAAGAACATGTATAAAATTTTAGTTTCAGATCGTCCTGCAAGCAAGTTGTTCGTATGAATACCTGCAGTTAAATATAGTACAAAAATTGCGACCATAAATGAGCACGCTGCTGATATCTTTAAATCCGTGTTTACTTCTTTCGATGTTTCTTGTTCCCTGAAAACTGAAAATGTTTCTCCATAAATATCAGCGAATAGCTTGACCAGATCTCTAGCCTCGACGTTAACGAAGGTCGTGGAAGCGATGGAATCCCGTTTGTAGATATATCTACCGAACCTAATTTGATTAATTGCACCTCTCCTCTGTTCCGTACACATCAGGGAATTGGATCTGCAATTTATAAAGTAAAATATCTATTAAAAAATTATAAATAAAATATAGTTGCGCCCATCTGTTTGTCGAAAGCATTCGTGACATAATTTGTTGGGAACGAAATTGTTAATTTTTTTCGTTGCATACAAATACGCAGACGCAATTGAAAAACATTGCCGTCAGAATGGATTTCAAAGTTGGTGAAGCTGCTGAATAAAAGATAAACCATTTATTCGTCATTCGTTAAATATAAACTAGAATTTTTATCACCGAACGAACAAATAAAAATTTAATTCGTTGCATTTGTTATGATTCGAAGAAAAATTTGCTCACCTCTGTCTAAAGGTCTTCGAAGGAATTAAATTGTATATCAGATATATTGCACGAACATAGGTAAATTAGACCTGGAAGGAATGCGAGTCATATCGAGCTAGTTAGCCTTTGTTCAAGATTAATCGACATTGTTGTACACGTTGTATGTACATACCAGAGTTTCCCTGTCTGTAAATAAATAAGTAAATAACTTTATTGAATTTCTGAGAGTCCACGTTTGCCCAAAAAGATAAAACGATTAAGCACACGCACGTGCCGCGATATAAAGTTGTCACGTTTTCATTACTGCGTACCGGTCAGCTCAATAAAATATCTTTGGTTGGTTGTCAGAGGCAAGAAATTATTCGATCGACAGGACGATTCGTTTCACACCCGTTAGCGTAACGAGTTTGCCTCCTCCGAGCAACGTTTCGAACTTAATGTATTTTTATTCAAATATTTCTGTCTATTGCGGCGTTTCGTAAGATGGCTCGCCCCGTTTCGTATCTTGCACGCGTTACGAAATTTTTCCCCACAACGGGCATTAATATCGCACGATAGACGATTCGTCGAAGCATAGATGCAAACATCTTGTCGAGTAGCTATCGGTTCGGTTTCTGATAAAACTGTGAAGCTGGAACACAGACGAGACGGCGAACCGGAATTAACCGGTTATTCGACTGTGAACTCGGGACCCTCGTTTGATAGCATTCGGAAGAAACAAGAAACGTTGATAAAGCTCGCATGATGTGATCGGGAACGAGGATGAGGGAGTCGAATAGAATGGGAGAAGGGAAATAAAGTCTACACATTTGGACATTATCTTGGCTTAAAAATTCACGACTTTGAAAGAAGCAGTTCGTATAGGTTTAAATGGACCTGGAATTGGAATTGTACAGTATTTTAATTTTTTATTCAATTTATCTCTTTTCAATGATCGAGTTAAAATTTGTGCATTATAGAGAAGTCAAGGTATATTATCCTTTGTAATCAATAACTTTTGTTTGACACTTTTTTCCTCCACCCTCGAGAACAATGCACATTCTAGTTATTATTTTGAGCTTTATATATACTTAAATTGTGTGAAAATATATTTCCTATTTTTACGGTCGCCACTGTATTTATATTTGTACGGGTCAAAAGCATCGTTCGACTCTCTGTATCGCAGTTGCAAGGTTGATACAGCGCAGCTTCAACTATGCCAACATTCAACGTTATGATAATGCGTTAGAACAATGAATCCGAGTGTGTATTTACTAGACTTAACCGACAATGAGGACGATCCTGTTGCCGGATCAGTATCTCTATCAGTATATAGGTACACAGTGGCTCTCGAATCCCTTTGAACGCTTTAGAACTTGCATGCCAAATTCAGCTTGGCTCAAGGACTAATCTATAATTCGCTACGAAGTTATAATCGTCGGTAATATTTCGAAGACAATTTTTCAAATATAATAGTATTAATAAAATTCTGTAAAAAGACTCAATATCGATTTATATCTTAGATAAATGTGATAATTTTTAGGTGCAGCAATAAAACGAACAAGTACAAAAATGTACGTTAATATAGGTAACGAATTTTGGAGACACGCCATTTTTCCGTTGGAAATGAATTTCA